TTCCGATAGAACTTCCGACAGAACTTCCCACAGAACTTCCGTCAGAAAGTTCCTAGGAAGCCTTTGGAAAGTTCCTTGAGATTTTTTGGTTATTTCCTAGGGAACTTTTGAAAGTATCTAGGGAACTTTTGGAAAGTTCCTAGGGAACTTTTGGAAAGTTCCTAGGGAACTTTTGGAAAGTTCGTAGGGAAATTTTGGAAAGTTCCTAGGGAACTTTTAGAAAGATACTAGGGTGCCTTTGAAAGTTCGTAAAGAACTTTTGGAAAGTTCATAGGGAATTTACGGAAAGTTCCTAGGGAACTTTTGGAAAGTTGCTAGAACACTTTTGGAAAGTTCATAGGGAACTTTTGGAAAGTTCTTAAAGAATTTTTGGAAGGATTCGAAGAAACCTTTGGAAAATTCTTATCGAACTTTTGGAAAGTTTCTAGGGAACCTTCGGAAATTTGCTAGGAAGCTTTTGAAAAGTTCCTAGGTCACTTTTGGAAAATTCGTATCGATTTTTTGGAAAGATCCTAGGGAGTATCGGGTAAATTCCCTAGTTCTGAGAGAATATCATTTATTTTTCGATAACTTTAAGGAAGTTCTGAGAGAGATTACTTCGGAAGAGTTGCGAGAATTTCTCGGGAGTTCCATGTGTACCTCAGCCAAGTTCCAAGGGAACTTCTAAAAAAGTTTCAAAGGAACTTCTACCAAGTTCCAAGAGAACTTCCGGCAAGTTCCAAGTAAACTTTTGGAATGTTCCAAAGGATATTTTGCAAAGTTCCTAGGGAACTTTTGGAAACATCCTAGGAAAGCTTTGGAAAGTTCGTAAGGAACTTTTGGAAAGTTTATAGGAAACTTTCGGAAAGTTCCTATGGAACTTTTGAAAAGTTGCTAGGAAGCTTTTGGAAAGTTCCTATAAAACTTTTGAAAAGTTCCAAGGGTAGTTCATAGGGAAATTTTGGAAAGTTCCTAGGGATTTTTTGGAAGGATTCCAACGATCCTTTGGAAAATTCATATCGAACTTTTGAAAAATTCATATCGAACTTTTGGAAAGTTCATAGGGAACTTTTGGAAATTTCCTAGGAAGCTTTTGGAAAGATCCTAAGGAACTTTCGGAAATTTCCTTGGAAGCTTTTGGAATGTTCCTAGGTAACTTTTAGAAAGTTTCTAGGGGACTTTTGGAAAAGTCCTAGGGAGTATCTGTTAAATTTATTTTTATTTTTCGATAGCTTTAATGAAGTTCTGAGAGGTAGTACTCCCGAAGAATTGCGAGAGTTTTACGGGAGTTCCAAGGGAACTTCAGCCAAGTTCCAAGGGAACTTCCAGCAAGTTTCAAGTAAACTTTTGGAAAGTTTCAAAGGAAATTTTTTGAAAGTTTCCAGGGAACTTTTGAAAAGTTCCTAGGAAACGTTTGGAAAGTTCCTAGGGAACCTTTGGAAAGTTCGTAGGGAACTTTTGTATTTTTCACAGAAAATGATTTAAAATGTCTCAAGCATTGTTTTCTGAGCTCAAATTACATGAAAAAAAAATGTTTTAACAAAAAGTTCAACAATTTGACCAATAGTTATTGTTAAACGATTTTTATTAATCATAAAGTGTGTGTAATATTAAAGGTTTCTAAAGTTTACGTTTTCCTTGATCTTAAATTTAAAATAAAATTTTCAAAAATATGACAGGATATTTGTGATTTAAAATTTTTTGAAACATGAAATTAATTTATGTTTTTGTTTACTCTCTTCGCTGGCACGTACAGACAATTTTCAGCTTATCCTATGTAATCTTTTCTTCTTTTTATAACAGTCTTTGGTGATATTAAAATGATAAATAGGACAAATATAAGAGGTCCTAGCACACTACCCTGTTGGATACCTGTACAAACGCTTCCCGACCAGGTAATACAGGTTACCTCTGAATGGGTTGTTACCTCTGGTTGAATATTGGTGGCAATTCTGGCGGAAATTTCGTTGAGGATAACCATTGCTTCCCCCCCCTTGTTGCTCGATACTGGTCCATGTTCTGTTATCTTCTCTATTGCGGATGCTAGAGAAGTAAATTGTCCCGCTTTCAATAATAATTTGGTTTCCTCGCTTCTGATTCCATAAGCAAGTGCCTTTACACAGGCTTTAACAGCCATCCTTGAAGCTGATTCCAGTGGAACTTGTTCGTTAATGCAAGCTCTTTCAAGGTCAAAAGTTAGTTTTGACGTAGGAATACATCTTTGATTTCTATATAGAGGTACACTTTGTGAAAACCGAAAACAATTAGTATGGAACATGTAACATAATAATGAAAGATTTTGAACGTTAATAACTCAGCTGCCCCTTGTCCAATTTCAATAATTTTTTCACCAATCGATCAGAAATATTTCTACGCATCTGTTTAAATAAAGCCGGTATCATTTTTCAGAATGTCACTACTGAAAATTTAACGAATGTGCAACTGTCGCTATGATAATTAAAATTATTACCGATTGCCTGCGAAAAGCGATTTCTCTAACACAGTCTGAAGAAGAATTTGTTTATAGATTTGAGTAGAATTCCAAGGAAACCCTGAATAAGATTCAAAAACTGTTTGATTGAAAATTCAATTGATTTGATTGTCAAACACATTTTGTTGAGAAATCTAAAGAATTTTTGAGGAGAATTGCAAGATAATTCCTTAGAGAATTTCAAACTTGTGAGTAGAATTCTAAGAGAAGGAGCCAAATTCAGAGATAATTTAGAAATAAACTCAATGAAAATTCTGAGAACAATTCTAATTGAATTCAATCGTAGAGTGTTCGAATGAGTAAAATTTCAAGTGGATTTCAAGAAGTATTCCAAGGATAATCCGGTAATATTTTTTAGAGAATTTGTAACGGAGCATTTCAAAGAATTGTCGGGATATGTTAGTAGAACTAAAAAAATAGTTCCTTAGATAAATCCATGGGAATTTCAGAATACTAAGTGAATCCTGAGACGAACTCCATGTGATTTTTCAAATTATTAATAATTGTAGAAAGAAATTCAAATAGTGTTGTATAGCAGTCTACAGTTGAATTCAATCTGGTCTCACCAAACGGTGTTTATTCAATCACCGCGTGGTAAGTGGTGGTGTTCTCCAGTACACAACAAAATGCTGCCTGCAAGCAGCGAGCTGCAGCCTACATGAGCAACCATAGAAGGAGGAAGAAGGTGGAGTCAGTAGCAGTCTACTAAAGAGTATACACAGAGAGAACCTCGCTAAAATTCCTGTTCCTACACAAAACACAAGCTCCTGTAAATAAGATTTATTATATAAGCCCACGTAGTCCTACGTCACCATTGCGTACAACCCCATAGGGCTGTCCCTTGTAGTTTTTAAATTTGTTCGGTGAACTTGATGATTTCACCATTTTGTTTTGTGGCATTTAATTTAGCCACCACAGTTTCAGGTGCAATTATTACCTTGCATTTGTCTGTAAGTTTTTGTATTATGGCGTCTATGGTTTGTGGATTTTCACCCACTGGCAATCTGGCCTTGTCTTCAAGTCGGAAAAGAATGACTTGAATGGCAACAGCACGGTTGCCGGATCGTCGGACCGTCGTGAGTCAGTTTTGGAGACACTCTTACAAATATACCTATCCATTCATGGTGCTTGCGGTAACGAAAGGTGTACTCCGCTTTCCAGAAGTATTATTATTATTTAGCTTTATTAAGGAGGCTTTCAGCCTTGGGCTGGTTCGCCTCCACTTTTCCAGAAGTACAAATTACTTGCCAAATTAAGAACTTCTTGGCGAAGTTTAACATCTTCTGTGTCCGGAGGTTCTCGGGAACATCAAACTTATCCTTGGCAGTCGCATACAGGTTTCCTGGAATCTGGTTGAAGTCTGCCTTCACATATAGGGGAATTTACGTATTCTCGTCAATCTAAGCAGCGTCTGCACTTCTACTAGCATTTTCTCAGCGTCACGCACATATATGATATGTCTGTTTGTTTACATGCATCTGCTGCTTGCTTCTCTATCCATTCCAATCGACAGAATTTTTCAAAACGTTTTGAAAGCGTTTTTACAACGCTCCAAACTTCTCAGGTGAGTGTGACTATTGTCGGCAGTCTCTTTTTCTTCGGCAACCTTCCCATTAGAACTGCGTGTTAACCAGCTGTTCTATTATCGGCAACTCGAAATCAACCTCATTTTGTAGTGCGTATGCTTTATTTGAAGAAAAATGTAGCATTACTGGATTGCTCGATCGTTCAAATATAATCAGATTGAAGCTGAAAGGCTAAACAATCGTTTGGACACATTCAGGGAAGTGCGTTGATGGGAAAACATAGTGAAATTAACGTTTAAATTTTGGTTGCCGAAAACAGTCAATGGGTGCCGAAGCCAACATTTACCCTATCTCGTCATCCATTATGCATTCTGTTTCGTAGTCCAGCTCGAGTTTTGGTATTCTGCACGAAAGTCTTACTCACATGCAAATTTTTAGCCACATCTTGAACTGAGACGTTTTTTCCCGATGGAACGATGCGACAGATCCTTATTCTCAAAGTACTCGTGCAAAACTTTTTCGCGCACGCACTGTAATCAACTCTCAGAGTATAAACAATACACATTGAACTATGTCTACGCAAAATTTCAAGAAATTTTACCCAACGGATAAAACGAAGATAGAGTAATTTGAGTGTGTGCGGATTTTAAACGGTACACCCTTTAGGGAATTTAGTTCACTTTAAATCTAATGGAATATTTAGTATCTGATTCTCTGCAGTTCAACGTTTGATCACTTCTCAAAAATATCACAATATGGTTATGGATATCATGTTTTATCACCTTCCTAGCTAGGTTTTTGATGGATTCTGTAGTTGGATTTTTTGCATTTTGCTGTTCAAAACTGTTTCTAGCTGTGATTTTTGCATGCCCACGACACGGTATGAGTTCTGTTTTTCTCTTCCTTAGCAAAGTCAATGGTTTAGTAGAATTTTGTTCGGATTGTTTGAACAAGCTTGACAACTAATTCATCTGTGTTTTTCCCTCCCATTGAAACGCCCCTAGGTCGAGTTTTACTCCCAACCCGAGCGACTACGACAACCTATCGCCGGCGTTTGTAGACGATGCGACGGCACTAGCGACAGCAGCGGATTTCGAACAGCAGCAGCAGCATCTTCTCCCTTCGGCAGTTGGGGAGCTCCCGGTCTACAGTCCACTTCCACGTGGGGTTCCACGCCGCCTCGAGTCACCGCGCTACACTGGAGGCACTTTCGCGAGCCGTCCGCGACCGTACGGCGGCGGACTGCCCGAGGAGTACCCCTACTACGATGGCGGTTCCAGTGAGGCCGCGCTCAACCCATTCTACTCGGAGGACGAGTTCCGCTGCGCTGCCCGACTGCGTAAGTTGCTCTACTACCTTAAGAAACAGTACTACCTGGACAATAAGTACATACAGGCCGTCTACGGACGAAACAATGTAAGATATTAAATGTGAGAAAATATTTAGGACAAGGATTGGACATTTTAAGGTTTACATAGGCAAGAGAAAACAAGCTGACACAGGACAATAATCTTTGCATTGGTGGCTCGGAAACGAATGCTGGCGCTGCTTGCAATGTAGAGTATTTTTAATTAGATACCTAAAGTGGCGTTTCGAATATCAAACTTCAAGACCGAGAACAAGTGTGTTTAAATCTCATTATACATATTAGATGGACAAAGGAGAAAGACAAGAAAACGGAGCCCCCTCGTAAGTGTTTATAAGCATTTATATTGTATTAAAGTGTAGATTGTAGGTAATGATTAGTGGAATTTTAAGATGCATTTATCAAACAAAAATATGATACCAAGTTCTAACGACGTGGCCAACGATCCAAGCGTGGCTATCGTTTACTCTCTAGAGCAGCTTCCTCCCAGCGAGGCTGACATCGAACAAACAAAACAAAACTACTAAGAATATTACTCAAATATCTCTATTCCCCATATCCTTTCCTTCATATCAAGTTGCAAACCAAGGAAAACTGAACTTTTTCTACATTTTAAGCCAAAACCAACCAAGTAATATCTTCCTCCCCCGTTTTTGAATAACCCTATTAAATGAACTTTTATCCTCGTATATTTATAGACTTTACAGAGTATACAGAATCCCTCAAGATGGGATGGAAATCACAGAAATCAAGACACATACAGAGGCCCACACGCATAAGACATCAAGCAAACCGATCCCACCTTGGAACCGATGCGAGTGGAAAAGTGTAATCCCTGTCCAGCTTAGAAGGAGCTGGGTAGCCTCCTCGGTTCCAAAGTCGCGAAATGGTTTGTCTTGTAGCAAGATTACACCACCTCACCGCATTTCCTTTCTTTCCCGTCGTCCTTTTGGGAAGAAGACGGGATGGATCGGAAATGGGAGAATCACAACAACAGACCGAACCGTGGCCGGGTGGGTGACAGTCCCAGAAAGAAGGATGGAATGGCGCAAAACTTCAAATTAAATTGCCTCGTTAGTAGGTTTCTATTTTCCAAACATACGTTCCGTTTGAGCTGGGTGATGCGAAGACGGGCTTCATGATCGAATAAAAATTGAGCTGTCAGTTCCAAGCACTCCCGGGATGGGAAATTTAGTAGAAGTATTGCAGTCAATCACACACATTATTCCCATCCTTCTTGAAGCATTAGATTTTGGTGTGTAATTTTAGTCCAATCATAAGCAGTTCTCTCAACTATTTTAACAAGAAGCGATTCATTATGTGACACGTTTTTGCTCTTTTATCACTTTCCAGAATTCATAATTGTAAACAAACAATCAAAGAGTCACGTTGCTTCGCGTGGATCTGAAAAGTTTGGTCAGTTTGACAGCTCTCGCTACCAACCGATGGAGATAAAACAACTCTCCATATCACCTTAAGTTTTAGCATTCCGGGCATGATGGGGCAACTGAAGGAGGCGTCATTCGTTGAAAAAAAAACAAGGGACTCAATCGGTTCGGATTCGATACTGGTCAACTTAGGGCTCTATCCACAAACCACGTGGACGGTTTTTGCGAGGTTTTTGCCCTTCTCAACTGTCCACGTGGTGTATGGACAGCCCTTCAAGTTGATGGGATTTGGAAGCATATTTCTCTTCTCCGTTATCTGACAATCAATCTGGTTGAATCTATTTGAGGCGGGGTGTTTTATTTTTTGTCCGTCGGTCGTTATCGATCGACGGCGATAGGCATTAACGGATCACTGTTGATTTGGGTGCAAAACGTAATTACGATGTCTGTCTGTCTGCCCACGTCTTCATTTCCCGCATTTATTTCTAGGAAGAGTTCGAAGGAATTCGCATCGTGCAGCATTGAATTCTGCGAATGGGACATACAAATGTCTTCTTAAAAGATTGTTTCCCAAGTAATCTGTTGATATCAGAAGTTAATTTCATGGTTTAGTTGTGGAAATTAATGAGTTCAAATGAGACGTACGCGTTTCATTTCTATTGGTCCAGAGTCACATGAGTGGAAATTCGGATCAGAAAGTGGCTCCACTTGTCATTTGCGAACACTAGCACACCTAGCGGTAGAAGGCATCTTCTGCCTGCAGTTAAGAAAGGCAGCATGCTGTGATAGTGCTGAAATTAGAGCGTAACAGCTTTTGTAAACAATGACTCCTCTCGATGATTTCTCGAAAGTCATGACTCTCTCTGGCAAATCGACATCACCATCGAGTGGGGGAAGACTTCCCCTACCCGATGGATATGTTGTTTTGTGTAGGTGTGCCTGGACTATCTTGAAATCAACGAGAGAAGTCATTATTTTACAAAAGCTGTTACACCCTATTTCCAGCTCTATATAGACATAGAAAGCCCGTGTGGAACGCTACCACAACACGTTGCTTGTTCAGTAGAAAAACGAACTACTTTTTGATTCATTGATTTGTTTGCACTTCCCCTTCTGTTCTGTGCCAGAGTGCTTCCACACATATAATTAAATCGTTATATTTTTTTTTTGCGGAATCATATAATCATTTTGTACTTGTAAACTACAAGAAGAGGTTGAAAAGTGTGTGTTCGACACACCAAATTTCTCAGTTTCACTTCCAAAGAATCACAATTAGCCATTTTATAGTTCGTGAGTGTTCACTCAGAGTGAGCGCTCACGAATAATAAAATCACTGATTGTGATTCTCTGAAAGCGAGATAGCAGATTGTACACTGAACCAAATAAACTTAAGAATTTCATAAGCGTGACTTATGAATGATTTTCGACTAACATGAGGTAGCTCTTATATGCCTTTACCATTTTATTGTCCCAAGCGTTGAAAGACGAGTGGTCCAGATACAGGACCCGTAATATCAACGTCCATTGTTTGGTTCCAGTCTGCTTCGTTTTATTATTTTTTTGCTAACATTATTTTTCATAAGGCAAATCAATAAAATTCATACAGATTTCTTGTGGTTAAAATCCCTAAGTGGTTCTTATGGAACGCTTACGTTCTTTTGCCTCAGTGTATGTGTCAAATGCATATTTTGAAACTAGTTCTTGTAGCTTACAAACTATCTAATGATTCAAATTAAGAAAAATATTGTGTATAGCGAAGTGAGTGAAAGCCACCCTGGTGCAGAGCATCTCCGAACTTGCACGTCCATATCAGACGTTTCCTAAGCACCACTAACTATCTCTTTAAACTCGCTCAGAGCTGTATGAATATCTCCAAAGTTTCCGAAACCACTCTGAAGATTACAGAAGCTCTTTTAGGTTCTCTCAGACTCTCCATAATTCTCAGAACCTTTTCGAAGCACACTTAAGACTGTTGATTCTAAACGCTGAATCTCTTTGTACTTTTTCGATTCTCTCCAAAGCACTCAGAGCTTGTTTCCAGCAGCTGGATGATCCCCTAGGAATTTTTTAATCAGAAATCCGTAGTAAATTGAGATTTGGGCGTAATTGCTTTTGTAAACAAACACGTCAATCACCGATTTCTCATGAACTAAAGCTCAATCTCGTAAACAAACTCTACCAACTGATAAAGGAACCATTCTTCTACGTGATAGTGCTATTAGTTTTCGAGATTGAGCTCTTATTCGCAAGAAACCTGCGATGAACGTGTTTGTTTACAAATACAATTACGCCCAAATCTCAAATAAGTCCGGAAATATAATCGACCTAGAGAGTCCAGTGAACACTCAAAGGATTTTAATTATTAAAAGTACAATAAACCTTCGAGATGTTTTCGCAATCACTAGAAATTTAATTTCTGTCAACTGGTTCCCAGAACAACTACGAGAAACCTCGGAGCAGAGATAATTAACTTCAGAGAATCGAAGTGGAGCTATAGCGTTGAAGTCATAGATTTTAAGAAAATTTCAGAAAACTTTTTAAAAGTACAATCAACCTCAATCTCAAGAAATTTTGCTTAAGTCTACGTGACCTGAGAAAAATTCAAAAAACCTCGGAGAAGTATAGAGAAAGCCTTTTTAGAGATATCTGAACGTATTGCAGATAAACTCAGGTAATTTAATTTTAATTTAAAGTCCAGGAGACCCCTATAAAACTTTTAGGAACGCCAGAATCATTCGCAAGAGACGTCCAAATAGACCTCAGATAAGCTGCGGGGAACTTCAGAGAAGTTTAAGGAAGCATAAGAGAAGCTCATGGTACTTCAAAGGTATTTACATAACTCTGGAAACGTTCAGAGGAGCTTTGGAAATCGTCAATAAAATCAGGAAAACTTTGAGGACTTCTGAAAATCTCAAGCATTCAAACTACTTAAAAGTACAATAAACCTCCGAAAAGCTTTGGCTGTCGCTGGATTTTTTGCTGCAGCCTACGGGTCCTCAGCAAGATTTAGAGAATACTCGGTGAAGTTAAAAGATCATAAATATTTAGAGATGTCCAAATGAATTTCAGAGAAGCTCGGACGAACTTAGGTGAAGTTAGGGTATTTTAAGCTTTAAGGAAAAGTACAGAGATCTTTGAAAACATCCAGCGAAACTTCGGTTATCTTCAATCAAATCTGAGACATTCAGAGAACCTACCTAAAGCCCCAGAAACGTTCTTTAGAGAAATCCAAATCAGGGTTCTACATTTTCGAAACAAAGAAAAGAAAATGAACTCTCCGCAGAATCGCTTCATTTCGAACAGTATCATTTTCGTTTAAGTCATTGTGTTTCTTGTTATCAAGTCACGATCAGCATTCCTCCTGTCAAACATGACTTGACTATCGCTTGTTTCGTTCAAAAACATGTTCCAATTGATGCAATGAATGACTCGAAAACTGATTCTTTCGTTTTTTCCACTTTCACTTCAATTTGGGGCTTGTTGTGACCTTTACTAAGTGTTCCACAAGAGATTCCTGTGATCGTATCGCTGTTTTCGGTAGGTTGAGAATTTCCAGTAGTATGCAGGCTCCCCAGTAATGTATGTGTTCCGGAATATAAATGTCTATTTTCCAGGCACTCCAGATTAATTCACAGATTTTTTACTGTAAAACACTTTATTTCTACATTAAAGCTTTTATTAACTCTACAGACTATACATTTATTCAACAACACTACAGATTAATAGGATGAGAAGTAATTGATCATCCTAGTTTGGTGGCTGGATATGAACTGACGAAACACAAAAAAGTACTTCAAAATCAACCTGTTCAGCGACTCCACGTACGACAAAATCTATACTTGTATCTCAATCTCATGGATTCTGCAATCTCCTCACTATCTCATACAGATACCTCACTATCTCATATCTCATACAAGAATACAGTTTGGTAGCAATACTATGACAGAGTAACAAAGTGTTATACAAATTTAGATGTGAAGTAAAGAGAAAAACGTAAACAGGGCTCATTCGACTTGTCGTCAGGCATCAACATATAGTAACCGGATAGGATCCGCACAATATCGATTGCCGATAGGCATGGCATCCGGATTATATTTGGTTTCAAAATGTTATTTTATATTAAACGAATATTAAACTAACGAGGCCATTCTGGAGTCCAAGATGACGGCCATCGGGCTCAGGAAAAGTCTCAAATACCCTACAATATTGGTATCTTAGGAACGGTGACGACGCGGAGGTGCCGAAAATCGATGTCCGACCCCATTTTGGAATCCGATATGGCGACCATCGGGTTCAAAAAAGTGTCAAATACCCTACGATATGGGTATTTCCGGAATGGTGACAACGCGTAGATGCTGAAAATCAATGTTCGACGCCATTTTGGAATCCAAGATGGTTGCCATCGGGATTCAGAAAAAAAGTGTCAAATGCCCTAAAATATCGGCATTTTCGGAACGAGGACGACACGTAGATGCCAAAAATCTATGTCCAACACCATTTTTAAATCCAATATGGCGGCCATCGGGTGCATAAAAAGTTTCAAATACCCTAAGATATGGGTTTTTTTTGGGAACGGGGACGACGCGTAGATGCTGAAAATCAATATTCGACACAATTTGTAGGGTATTTGACACTTCTTCTTAAATCAGAAGCCACCATCTTGAATTTCAATATAGCGTCGGGTCGGACATTGATTTCCAGCCCCTAGATGTCACCCGATTTCAAAAATACTCCCATTGATCGGTATTTAATAGTATTTCACAAAAGCCGCCATCTTAGATTTTAAAATGGCATCAAACATCGGTTTATGGCCCCTAGATGTTACTGGGATTTCGAAAATACCCACATTGATGGGTCTTTGACACTATTTTCAACTTATTCTGAATCCAAAAGTCGCCATCTTGGATTTAAATATAGCGCTTGACATCAATTTTCGGCATCAAATTCTTCAAATCGGAAGCCACCGTCTTGGACTTCACAATGACATCGGATATCGATTTCCGGCTTCTAGAAATTACCCTGATTCTAAAAAAAAGCAAATGTATGGGTATTTGATAGAATTTCACACTTTTTCGAAATTTGAAGAATTTTAAACGGGCGTCGGATCTTGTTTTCAGCCTCATCCCGATTTCAAAAATACCCATATTGTTGGGTATTTGACAGTACTTTCTATATTTCTTAAACATGAACTTCTTGGATTTCAAAATGGCGTCGCATATCCATTTCCAATCTCTAGACGTCACCTCGAATCCAAAAATACCCATATTGATGGGTTGGCATTCCCACTTTTCTTATACGTGAAGCCGCCATCTTGGATTTAAAAATTTCGTCGCAAATCAATTCCTGGTCTCCAAAATTCACCCCGATTAAAAAAATACCCATATTGATGGGTATTTGACAGTATTTCCTACTTTTTTTCCGAAATTGAAAGCCGCCATCTTGTATTTCAAAGTAGTGTCGGATATCGACTTTCAGTCTAGGCGTCATTAAGTTTCGAAAAATACTTTTGTCTACTGGCCGCAGCTGCGAATTCCCTGCCAGGTCAACAACAAATTTGAATCGGCCAGGGACACCTCCTCCAGCCTTCGCCTTGTAAAATTTTGGTCCTGGAAGCTGTCCGAAGTCGGCCTTTACTGTAAGCCTTCGCAGTATAGAATTCACTGCACTGTACTAAGGGCGGCATTAATTGTTACTCAAATCGCAATCGGACACACCTGGGTTTGTTCTGATGGACCTAACGACCCTTCCAGGGAGCTGACGGTTGGCAGTTCCACTCTGGCTTGGGGTTTCCGATTCGTCGTCAAGGTTTCCCTGTACGTTTTGACCATTGTGTTTCTAGGAAAACTCAACACTTTAGCCAGCTTGGACGCGGACCACGATGGATTTTCCAGGTGACTGTGCACGATTTGCTTTCTACGCTCCTCTGGCATAAAGACTGTCTCCAAAACAGGAGTGGTTTATGAACTCAAAAAATACACTGTTATTGCTATTGCTGTTGTCAACAAAAAGACGTCAAAATCTTCCGAAAACGTCCACTAGGAGCGCTGTAATAAGCAAAAGAGATGGTTCCATCACTCAGTGGGTCATGGTTTAATAGCAAAATGCGTTACTAATTTGCTATGATTTTTTATATTCCTTAGATATGGCAGCAACTGCCTTTGCTATTACTAAGATCCCATAGATTTTTTTGATAATTTTTTTGATATTTTACCTCTTATATCAATCAAATCAACAGCAATTTTTGAGGTGCTGCTTACCAATTTTAATATTGAATTGTTATTGATTTGATGTTCTCGTCTACTCAGGAAACCTTAATTTAAAAAAAATCACATGACCGCTTCAAATTGGAAAAGCATTCCAAAAACTCGTTCTGCGTTTTCATTTGAATGACACTTCTTTCAAAAATAACGATTCATTTTACCTTTACAAAGAGGAAATGATGCATTCCTAAAATTCCATACTTAGGTAGGTCAGCGGTTCTCAAAACTTTATCGACGACACTTTGAGAAATTCCATAAAATAGCGACCCGCAAATATTGAATAAAGATGTTGTAAGGTCAAAACGACCTGAACGACTCCAAAAACGACCTGAAAGACTCCAAAATAATGGCTTGATTGCATGATTCACTAATACCCTAAAACAGAACGCCAAAATGGCCCAAAAAATTCAAACAAGTTAAACGACAAAAATGCGCTAAAATGCCAAATTAGTGGTCAAATGGCGTTCAATGTGCGAAAATTATCTGAAAACACTGAAATACTCATCGAAACGCATGAGTAGTGATAATTTTTTTTTTAAATAAATTGAAAATAACCTCAAAACTTTTTTTTTTATATTATAGTCACTTTAACACTCTTGGTTCGCCGGAGTCGTCAGTACCTCAAAACAATGATACTTATTATTATTAATATTTATATTTATTAGGAAGGCTTTCAGCCTTGGGCTGGTTCGCCTCCAAACAATGATACTTGAAAAACACCCTAACAACCTATTTAACACAAAAATGTAATTTCAATGCCATAATATTTAAGAAAGCGATTCATTTAACAGGCTTACGTTTTAATTAGGATAAGAAAATTTGTTTTTAAATAAGTTTTATCTTTGAATTTTGTTTGTTTGATAACACTCAACTGTTTTAATAATTTTTTTACGGAGCCGAAAGTCTTTTAACATTTGATTTAATTTTAGAATT